ACACCTAGACAAGCACTCACTGTGCCAGAAGACCCCAGCTTGCAGGCCCTGGTCCCCAAGAAGCCTCCAAGCAGATCAAGCAGACAAAGTCACCTCCACAGTGAGGCTGCCAGTGTCCTGGGCTGTGTTCTGTGGAGAAGATGCTTGGATTTCTGGTCCATGTCTGCCTGCCACAGGGAATTCCTGCCTCGTCCTGCAAAAGGCATCCAGGATCTGAGCACCCACCTTCTTGCTACTAGCACCTGGCCCAAGACACTGGCCTGCTGTCATTGAATGGATTAGCTTTCCACCACAGTGACAAAACACCTGAGAATGACACCTTGGAGGAGGACACAGTTGCTGGGCTCCTGGTTTCAGAGGTCTCAGCCTGGGGAATGCTGGCTTCTCCACTTCTGGCCTCAGGTGAGGGAGAAGCAACTGGCAGCAGGGTGTGGAGAAGCAAGCTGCTCATCATGGTGGGGGGAGTGAGGGAGAGAGAGAGGGAAAGAGAGAGAGAGAAAGAAGAGGGGAGGAGAGGAGGAGAGGAGGAAAGGAGAGGGAGAGAGGAGCAGAAACTGCGCAGTCCTCCATGGCGCACTGCCAGGACTGCTCCCCTCACTGAGTCCCCACCTCCTGTTTCCAGCCTCTCCCCCAGTGCCATCAGATCCTGAGTGTGTCAGTGGATTAATCCACTGATTGAGTACTGTGCCCTTTGGATCCAGTTGCCTTCCACAGGTTCCAGTTTGGAACACAGCAGCCATTGGGGCTGTCCTAGATCCCAGCCATAGCTCCAAGGGTTACTGAGAAGCTCTGCAGCGGCGCTCTCTGCCTTCACCTCCCTTATTACCTTTGCTTTTACAAGAGCCACAGGGGGGCAGTCGCCACAGGATCAGGGCCCATGAACCTCACTGCTGAATCTCCCAGCACCTCAGCTCACAGAGAGCAGAGGCCAAGTCCTCCCTGTGATCTGCAGTCTCTGATTCTCTGCCTCACTGGCCTGTGCTGCTGCCCCATTGCAGTCTGTCTTCTGGTGCCTCCCTGCAGCATCCTTGGGGATGGGGGCCCCGCCCCTGCGGAGACTCACAAGCAGGTGGCTCTGTTGGGCGCACGGCCTCTGATTCTCCTTCCCCTCCCCTTTTTGCTCTTCCCTCCACCCCATGATCTTCTTCCCATGTGCAAAAGATCTACCCCCTATTTCCTTTTATCTATGTTTTATTTTGTTTTTGTTTGGATTTCTCATATGAAAGAAATTGTACAGTATTTAATCCTGTATGTCTGATTTATTTCACTTAACATTATGTTTTCAAAGTACATCCATTTTTCCTACAAATGACTCAGATTTGTAGCAGAGTAGTGCTCTTTATAGCAGAGTAGCGCTCCATTGTGTGCCAATACCACATTCTTTATCCATCCATCTGTTGATGGATGTTTAGGCTGCTTCCAAGATTTAGCTATCGTGAGTTGTGCTGCTATAGACATAGGTGTGTATGGATCACTGTAACATGATGTTTTTAACTCTTTTGTAGGAGGAGTAGCTTGGTCAAATTCACTTACTGCTCTTGGCTGCTTTATGTTTTGAGAATGCAAACTCCATGAGGCCTGCCCTATTTGGCTCCTGGATGACAAGTGCCTCGATCATCTGCATGAGGTGGGTTCTCTGTATTTTTTGAGTGAATAAAGAAGAAATGAATGTATTTTTTGAGTGAATAAAGACAGAAATGAATCTGTGAGAGGGAAGTGTGCCCAAACACCAAGGACTCTTTAGAACTGTAGCCACTTTCTTCACTAGCAAATGACCTAGTAAAGGTTGGGCATTGTTTTAGGACTTCTGCCTAGGGTCCATGAATGAGCTGCTTTAGGTGAGAGACAAAGCTTCTGGAACTTGATTTTTTCTTACCAGTCCCATGAACTTATGTTCATTCAGGTGCCATGAAGAGCCAGCCTGGTGGAACATGCCAGCAATCCCAGCTACTTGTGAGGTTTATGCAGGAGGGTCCCAAGTCTGAGGCCAGCATGGGCAACTTAGTGAGATCCTGTCTAAAGAAAGCAAAACGACAACCAAAGGAAACCAGACCAAACCTGGAAGCCCCTATGAACCTCATAAATCCGCCCATCATGAGTGTTATCCCAGGTGAATCATGATGAAGACTGTGCTTTTCAAGACTGGGAAACTCCTCTGGCCACCTGAGTGATGGTTTCTAGAACTGGGGTGGAGAACACGCACTGCCTTGCCCCTTGGAGATGCTCAGTTCATTAAAACCAGTGCCGTTTAGTGTGAAAATCATGACAAGTACAATACTTTGGCCACTATCTTTTACTTTGGCACTCCGAATGAAAGGGTAGTTATTTTGTATATGATGGAGTATGTGAACACATGGCTATGATGACTGGAACAGAAACGTCTATTGTACCTTTGCATGGTTATGTTTATTATACTCATAGTGTGCCTGTGTTCTGCAGCTTATGTATAGATAGTCTATATTGTGTCACGTACAAGTAACAGATTTCTGTGTCCTAAGTGATAACTGATATGATTTGTAACTGGATGTCCCCCAAAGTGTCATTCCCTCAGAGATAGGGCTTTTGGAAGATGACTGGATCACGGGGCTCGTAGCTGGCTTGCTTTCAGGAGGTGGGGTCTGTTTGGAAGAGGGTGGGGCCTAGAGGGGTATATTTCTCTTTCTGGTTCCACCTGTCATTCTCTCTCTACTTCCTGTCCACCATGCCATGAGCATCTCTTCTGCCAGCCCCTCTGCTATGCTGTTTCTTGTTTGGAGCCACTGACCCTGAAATGTGAGCCAAAATAACCCTCTCCTTTAAGTTGTAGGTGCTGGGTATTTGTGACTAAGACAATAACTCATGTTTCTTCCTCTTCAGCAGCATGTGCAAAGAGTAACACATGGCCCTGCCAGGGCAGCCTGGTGAGGATGCTAGGGATAGGGTGATGTGAAGTCCACCCTCCAGGGAGGGTTGAGATGTCTCAGTAGAGACCCTTTCTGGCTACTCAACTACTTCCCATCCTGCCAAATTGTCACATTTGGCACATACTCCTAGAAAACCAGCAAACTTTTAAAACTTTTCCAAACTTGTGATGCTGCCCCTCTTGCCAGCCTGACATTAATTTGCCTCCTCCCTTGCTACACCTCCAGTGGCTTCCTATTTCCTTTAGGATGGACTCCAGAGGAAGTCACATGAACCTGAAACGGCTGCCTCCTTCCCATGTCCCTGTTCTGGTCCTGGTGTAATGTGAGCTCAGATTTCCAATACAGGGACCACTATGTTCTGGGGCTCTGGAGCTGGGGGATCGGGGTCATGGAGATGTTGCATAACTTTGGAGGTTGGGGTTCAGTCTTACATCTTCTTCCATTCAGAGTAGTGGAGGTTGTGATGAGCAGGAGGCAAGGTCAGTGTTATGAGTAACCATCAGCCATGATGGAGTAAGATTTGGTGGGCAGCTCTTTCCCTTCCTGGCTGCTATGATGCTAGCAGCTTCGTTGGCCACATGCTCCAGCTGTGATGCTCCTGCAGTGTCACCGTAGGCCCACAGGGAACAGGTCTAGGGACCATGAACTGAAACCACTGAGCCACAGTAAACCTGTCCTCCTTTAAGTTGATTTTGTCAGGTATTTTGTCACAGTAACAATAATCTGCCTAACACGGTCACCTATTAAAAAGTTGTTAACGACGTCGGTAACCGGTCGTTCTGAAGCAGCTGCCTGGGAAGGAGACAAGGATGCTTCTGTGAGTTGGCTTGAGCTCCAGGACTGTCTTTCCTTCACTGGGCCCCTTCGCTGACGTAGCCATTGTCCCTGGCGCCAGCAGCCTGCGTACCTCTCAGTCATGCCTTTCTTAGATCTGCAGAAAAGACTGGGCATTAGTTTAGATTGTCACATGGTGATCCAAAGTGCTGAACTGCCCTACAAAATTGCTTCTCGATGCCATGCTTTTGAAAAAGAATGGCTAGAATGTGCACATGGAATTGGTGCTACCTGGGCACAAAAAGTATGCAAGATAGAATATGAGGATTTGGTAGAATGTGTGCTGCGGCAGAAAACGATACAACATATGAATGCCATCAAGAAGCAGGGGAATAAGCTAATAAAGGAGGGGACGTACACCCCTCCACCTCACCACTTGGGCAAGGGCGAGTCTAGGCCCTGAGCAGGGCAGCTGCCAATGGCTGGAGGCTGACATTCATGCTGTTTTCCACTGGAAGGATTGTTTACTGAAAACCTTTGTCAGATGTGTAAAAATAAAGGAGTATTACATTCTAAAAGAAAAAAAAGTTGTAAACTTTAAGAGAATCGATACTTTGTTGTTTAATCTGTTCCAGAACATAGCAAAACCAAAACAGAGCAGAACAAAAGCAAAAGTGAAAAAGTAAACCCCAAATGAAACAGTCCTTATCGTTTTCTAATGTTGTACATAACCCTGATCTTACACTGGAAAAAAGAATATGAAAAGAAGTGTATAGGTTAATGTTACTCCAAAATGAAGATGCAGAAATCCCAGTTCCCACATAAACAGCTCAACCCACCAGTGTTCTCAGGTGAAGCTCCCCACGGGGATGGTGGATCCTAATCCTAGCAATGCAAGGTGGTCTCACATAGAAACCTGTGAGACTAAAGGGAAACAACGCAACCGGCTGATCTTCTCAGTGTCTGCCAGGAAACCCTTTGAGAAGATGTGAAATCTTTCTCCCAGGCCATCCCAAGGGCAGTGTCAGTGATGTAGACAGATGCCACTAAGCGGTGTGACAATGCCTTACTGACGCCAGAGGGTTAGCTCTTGCAGGGTTCAGCTAATGTTCCCCTAACTCTCATTCTATGAGAGTTTCTGCCTATGAGGGAAGTAGAAATATGCCAGCTGAGAAATACTCCGCTATGTCTCCAGCACCTTGTTTACTTGGGGATGTTTATGTACACATAGGATTGTAAAGATACAAGTGCAGGCCCACAATGATCTTCACTCCAGGGTAGAAATGGGGTTGAAGGCCCCTGAGAGTCCAGGAGGTACCTGATTTTGAGCTGCAGATCAGTTCCAAGAGCTTTCTCCCTGCAGGAGGGTGTGGGCAGCCCCTAACCGTGAGACACACAGTCACACTGTGACCTTGTGATGGGGAGTAACTGCAGGACGCACACAAAGGGTGTTTTCATCATAGCATGAGTTATTAATTTAAACCAGACAAAATGCTCCTGGGACTTCTTTATTCTGTGAAGGAGTTTTTATAAACTTCCATGATATTTCACCCAATTCTCCCTTGTTTACTTTCCTTGAGACATTTCAATATTTTATAATTTAGACTTCTTCACCTTTGGAAATAAACCAGACTTGGGAAGAATGTCTTGTCAGGATTTTGGAGGAATTCAGTGAGCTGGGTGATTTATGAAGTCAGGACTCAGTTTGGGGAAGTAGGTGGATGGAGCCGAGCCCGGCCGGGTCAATACTGGGCCTCCCGGGTCTTGCCGTCCTGATTCTGGGCTGCGTCTCCATCTTGGGCCCATGCAGCAATCAGCCTGACGGTCACAGCACCAGCGCAGAAAACCTGGGCTCGGAGAGATCAGGCAAGAACCGAGGAGTTTCCGGTGGATACCTAACTAGATCAGCGAATAGGTTCTGACAGAGCAGCAGCACCCTAGCCTGCTTTGGCAGAACTGGCCCATGGCATGCACACAGCTGGTTTGTCCTGAAGTCTGTGAGTCATGGATACCATGAAGGAACTGTCTGGGGCTTGTGTGGAACCCATGCAGGGGGAGACAGCTGACCCAGGTGTTCAACATTCAGCATTTATTCTCACACACACTTTCTCCTGGACTTCTCCTGTTTCTGTTCCTGTGAACTTGGGAGGAAGCTGAGGACAATCCCAGGTCTTCTGTGGAAGCTGGGTGCCCCCAAGGTCAGGCAGCCGCCACTCTGCTTCCTGGGAAGGGGCTGGGTGTTGGGCAGTGAGCAAGTACGGAGTCTGAGTTGTGCAGGGAAGCACATTCCTGTCTCCAGGAGATGGAGCTGACTCTGGCAGAAAGAAGGAGGTGTAGAGCTCTGTGACCTAGGAAAGTCCCTCGATCAACTGATTCAGGAGCTCTCTTCACCTTGGAATTCCAGGTAAGGGTTTTAGTTGTCCTATGCCAGGGTGAGTTGAGCTTTCCCTTCCACATCTGTGATGCTCTGGTGTAACACAAAGTGAGAATTAGTGTCCCTAGGTTTCTTTCACTTTGCTTCCACTCATACCCCTTACTTTTGGCCAGGAATTTAAGAATATCTCAAACTGCTTCTTCCTTTGAATTGCTGTTTTTTTAAAAAACAAATACACACACATGCATGCGTGAACACACTGATGCATATGCACACGCATGTACATACACACTTTCTATGATGGGTTGAGCCCAGGCCTTGCACATGCTAAGCACATGCGCTACATGGAGCCATACCCCCAGCCTTTCTTTTTAATACTGTTTTAAGCCCCAGGGCCACGTGGTCATAGGAACGACAGCCATAATAACAGCCAATATTTGCTGTAAATTTGCTGCCTGCGGGGCATTCACTCAAGCATTTTATGTGTTTATTTTGTCTTCTCTACAATAACACACTGAGGCCAGGGCTGCAGTTTCCCTGTTTTGAAGAAGACGGTAACTGAGGTAGGGAGAGGTGCTCAGGTCATGCCTCTAGTGGCAGGACAGGACCCAGGCAGAGTCACCTGATGGCTGGGACGGAGCACGTTGGTCCCCCTGTGTGGGTCTTTCTGGCCTAAGCAGAGAGGTACATTTTATGGGAAAGATTTGCAATTGACATTTGCTTTTTTTGGTAATTGAAATCACAACGAATTGCTGTACACACCCTCAAGTATTATTCTGTAACAGTCTAAACCAAGCACGGGTATTAGTCAGATCCTTTGCGTCTTCATTTTTATATACTTAGCATGTTGAAAATGAGTGTTAAAATTGCTATGTTAAAACATCCCAGGACTCTCATTTATCCTATTTCATCCTTATAATCCCTGCAGGAGTTATTTTATGTGCTGGCCTGTGATGTTATTTGAGCCTGAAACCATAGTAAGGGCTACAGCTCTCTCTGCATGTGCCCCTGATCATAACATCTTTGTCTTTCTGCACATTTCCCCTGCAGGATTCCACTGTGTGAGAACATTTAAAAAACCCACTGAAGACCCTCAGCTGCATGCTTGCAAACAGCCAGACCTTCTCCACACTGGCTTTATTTGTGAGCAACAAATAAAAATGAAGAGCAAGAGATAGCAAGACCTAGGCTGGCCACAAGAAGCAAGGCTCCCTGAACACTTCAGAGATGCTCACAGGGACAGCAGTGGTCCCCAGCTCTCCAGCAGAAGTGGAACTGAGATGAGAAATCAAGGGTGGCCCTTTCTTCTCCCTGACAGCTGGTGAGTGAGTGAGTGAGTGTGTGTGTGTGTGTGTGTGTGTGTGTGTGTGTGTGTGTATTTTCCCAATGACAGCCACCAGAATCCTCCCCTTGCTTCTCCAAGAGTGATCCTAGGCCACTGGCTGTAGCATCTTCCCATCACCCCTGTGATGGCCTATGAGTCACCGTCTAGGCTGCAATGGTGGAACCATGACTCTGGGACAGGCCATTCAGGGGCTGCATCTGCCTCTCTGAGATGTGGTATAGATGCACTGAACCAGGCAAAAACCAGGAAGGAAAGGGCCCACTTCCAGTTCCCCCTAAAGTCCCCAAGCTCCAGTGAGCCGTGACCAACATGATGACCCCTCTTGGAGACTCCATGAAAGTGGCAGCGATTGCAACTTCAGCCCTGCCATACCTGGAGATGTGGGAGTTGTCAATAAGCAGTGCTCCAACAGTCTGGAGTGCTGCCACCATGACAGCTGTGGTTGTCCTGGACATCCCCTTGCTACTTGGGACATATTTGCACTGGCTGCAGAAGGCCTGAAACACAGATCTATCCCATGTGACTCTGCCTTGCAACCTCCAGATGACTCCACTGTCCTCTGTCATGACTCCATAAGTCCCCACATAAGTTCATGACATGCAGGAGACTGCACACGAGCACCTGCTGCTCCTCTGTGTCAGCAGCACCCCTCATGCTCCAACTAGTCTGTGGCCCCCACCCCATTCTACTACACATGGGTTCCAGGAGAGCACCCTACTTGGTCAAGTGACTTGGCTGCCAACTTGTGATTTGCATCTTGGGGAAGTGGGGTGAGTAGGTTGCACTAAGAAAAGGCTGGTGACACCAAGGCCCTTAGCCCTGAAGAGCTCTAGAGACCAGTGCAGCAGCAAAGAGCTGAGCATGGGAGAGTCTGGCAGAGAACTGCAGAAGAGCCCTGGGGAGGCTAAGAGCCTCAGAAAGCAGCCAAGAGAGTAGGCGCTCCTGCAGCTCAGGAGCTGATGGGTGGCTGGGAGCCACCAGAAGCTGCTAGTGCTCAGAGCTTAGAACTGCAGCACTGAGCCCCTGCCTCTGGCCCTTCTTAGGCACCTTTTATTCAAACACTTTCTCACACAGATGAACCATCCTGTCTACATGCACATGTCAGCTCATGGGGCTACTGCAGCTTAGATTTATGGTTGCACAGGTTTTTAAGTATGTCCTATTCACAGGGACAACCTGAACAGTGTGGTGAGTAGGGATGGAGATAGAATGAGTCAGGTGTTTTAAAAACTCCACTCCTACCCCTGTGACATTGCTACCAGGGCCTCTGCTTTCTTCTGTTTTGCATCTGTCCATCCCCTAACTTCTGAGTTTTCTGAGCCTTCATGTGAGGGGCCTTTTACAGTTGGACTTAATTTCCTTTTGCAAAAGTATTTATGACTCTGGTTCAAAATAATTTTTCCTTGTACATCAAAATATGATCTTCTTAGTTGCTGTTTTGGTTTAAAACCATGGTAACGTAATTGAATTACTGTTGGGAGTAGCTCTTTACAGAACTTTAGAAAACACTGAGCCAAATCTGTTTGACACAGCACTTCACAATGCTGGGATTAAATGCCTTTTGACACGTGTTTTAATTGCTGAAAGATGGAACTGGGAACGCAGTCTTGATATGTGCTGGTTGGTGTCCCTGTGGCTGCTGCCCAGCCTATTCCAGCCAGCTCTGGTGACCAGGAGGCTCTGGCAGTCAGCAAGATGACCTGGCTGTGACCCCTTACAGGCTCCCTGGTCCTTCTGTGCCTCAATCTCCCTGTGCTCATGGGAACGTGGTAGGAATGCCTGTGCTCCACTGCCTGGAGTTGCCTTGGGAGGAGCTGAGTGAGCCCTTGGGAAGGGGTAAGGAGCATGAGAGGGTGC